GAAAGTGAAAGAGGAGAGTGAAAAAGTTGGCTTAAAGCTCAACATTCAGAAAACTAAGATCATGGCATCTGGTCCCATCAATTCATGGGAAATAGATGGGGAGACAGTGGAAACAGTGTCAGACTTTATTTTTGGGGGGATCCAAAATCACTGCAGATGGTGACTGCGGCCATGAAATTAAAAGATGCTTACTCCTTGGAAGGAAAGTTATGACCAACCTAGATAGCATATTAAAAAGCAGAGACATTACTTTGCCAACAAAGGTCTGTCTGGTCAAGGCTATGGTTTTTCCAGTGGTCATGTATGGATGTGAGAGTTGGACTGTGAAGAAAGCTGACTGCTGAAGCATTGATGCTTTTGAACTGTGGTGTTGGAGAAGACTCTTGAGAATCCCTTGGACTGCAAGGAGACCCAACCAGTCCATCCTAATGGAGATCAGTCCTGGGTGTTCATTGGAAGGACTGATGCTGAAGCTGAAACTCCAGTACTTTGGCCACCTCATGGGAAGAGTTGACTCATTGGAAAAGACCCTGATGCTGGGAGGGGTTGGGGGCAGGAGGAGAAGGGGACGACAGAGGATGAGATGGCTGGATGGCATCACCGACTCGATGGGCATGAGTTTGGGTAAAGTCAGGGAGTTGGTGATGGACTGGGAGGCCTGGCATGCTGTGATTCATGGGGTCGCAAAGAGTTGGACATGACTGAGCGACTGAACTGAACTGAAGGAGTATTCAAAAATTTTTATTTTCTAGTGATTGTTCATTATGTAAATATAGCTGTATAGAAATCCAACGAATTTGCTGAATATATTAATTCTAATAATTTATTTGCAGTTATCCTTTGGTTAGCCTATATATCATAGCGTTAGAGTCAGACAGACAAACCTGGGTTCAGATCACTACTCTGATATTTACAACTGCTTGATCTTGAGCAAGTTACTTCACTTATCGAACGCTACTCTCTTAGAGTAGAGATTATTTTTAGGAGTAGTCAGAAAATGTATACACTGTGCCTGGCATATAGTAAATACTCCATAAATGACAGCCATTATTAAAACTTTATTTCACTGTCTTTTCATCTCTTTTCTGTTGCCTTTTTATTGCAGCCTATTATTTCCTTACAGATTTCTGCTGTCACCTCTACAGGTAATACCTTCTTGCATAGTAACAAAATATTACTAAAAGCCCCTTTTTTTTTTCTTTCTGTATACTGAATTATGTCATTCCCAGAGAAAGAATCTTCCTCTGAATGTTTTAGAAGCAGTTTTCTTTCCCTCTCTTCATGGTATTTCTTGATAAGCTCCACGTGGGTTTGTGTTCCTTTACTTATATTTGGACAAGGTCAGCTGTGTTCCAGTTCAGTGTCCTGAAGCAGACAGTGGGGGATGCTTGCCGTAGCTTGGCCTCTGTTCTCCTCCTAAGACCCAGCCCGGGGGAAGTGGCAGATGGGCATGCACAGCTCTCAGACTGTGACTGGGCTGTGGCAGCTTTCTCCAGTGCCCTGCGCTCCAGGGAAGTAGTGTGGCTTTGTCCCACAGCCCTTGGTCCTCTGTGACTCTGAATGGATGGATGTAGAGAAACAGAAGCCCCCGACTCCTAGAAGTCCTGTTACTGAGACTCTGCCTAACTCTCCTGGGAGCTCCCCTTCTCGTTGCCACTTACCACTGCCAGCCCCAGCCTCATCATTTTCAACTGTTAACAGTAAACATAGGGTCAGACAAGAATCACCGAAGGGTACCAACTCTAGGGGAAATTTTGATGAGGAGGAGTATGTTTGTAGGATCTTAACATATCGCCTCATAGATTGCTTATCACTTAGAAGGTGAAAAGCAAACCCTATTTCAGTGAAGGAAAACAGAGAAATCAGGTAGTGCCTTGGCCATCTGTCCACCAATAAGGGACAAATCGACAGTGTTTGCCTCCAATGTGATACCCTGAGAAGGATGTGGCCTCATCCATGAGCATTCCAGCTGAGGAAAGAAAAAGTGTTAGTCGTTCAGTCGTGTCCAACTCTTTGCAACCCCATGGACTGTAGCCCACCAGGCCCCTCTGTCCATGGGATTTTCCAGCCTATCCATCAATTATTCAATTTCACTGTGACATTTAGATTGGATATGCATTTAGCAGGGCAGTTTATTCCTCCCTCCCTCCCTCTTTTTCCTTCCTTCCTTCCATCCTTCCTTTCTTTCACATTGAGCACCTACCACATGGTGCACTGTCTGGTAGGTGATGCAGTGATGATGAAAAACAGGCATAGGGTAGATAAGCAATAAAGATTTACTGTATAGTACAGGGAATTATACCCAATATCTTGTAATAACCTATAATGGAATATAACCTCCAAAACAAAAAGGCAAATCACTATGTTGTACCCCTGAAACTAACACAATATTGTAAATCAGCTATACTTCAAGAAAAACAAATGATTACAGTTAAAAAAAGATTAACCATGTGTGTGTTACCTATTCAATATATATCCATTGATTTCGTTAATAGGCATAAACTATTACAGCTCAGCTGTGGGTGCCCTGCCCAGATGTCCTTTGCACTTGTACCATCCCTGTATGTTGACACTATGACTTCCAAACACCAGCATCTTGACTTCTTTGCTGAAGGTTTTATTTGGCCTCCGGACAAAATAAATGGGGCTTCCCAGGTGGTGCTGGTGGTAAAGAACCTGCTTGCCAATCCTGGGAACATAAAAGATGCAGATTCCATCCCTGGGTCAGGAAGATCCCCTGGAGGAGGGCATGGCAACCCACTCCAGTATTCTTGCTTGGAGAATCCCATGGACAGAGGAGCCTGGAGGGCTACAGAATATGTGGTCAGAAAGAGTCAAACATGACTGAATCATCTTAGCACAGGACAAAAATACTGCAAAGTTAATGCCTCCCCACCCCAGCTGCCCTCAAGCTACCCAGATAGGGGTGATTAGTATGAAAATCTCCAAGGGGGACAAGGGTGAGGCACATGCCACACTGCATCCCAGACGTGCCCAGCAGCGCTGAACCCAGAGGCCCGTAGCGATGACCTACTCAGTAGTACACCCTCTTTTTACTTCCTTCTTTTCTCTATCACTTTCCCACTCCCAGAGGTGCTTCCGGGGATCACCCCCCAATAAACCACTTGTGCTAAAATCCTCAGTTCAGGACTTCCCTTTCTGGAGGAACCCAAACAAAAATGTTTGTTAATATTGATACTTAATGGCACTTACTGGACAGTGAGGAAGACAAGTCACACCAACAGTTGGGTAATTAAACTCATACTGGGCATCATTAAACTCCCACTTGTAATTGAATGTACTCAAGTGCTGGCAAAGACATTTTAGTTTGGAAATGGTTCAGGCATTGTTTAGAAGATTTTCATTTTTGATAAAAGCAATCAGTACATGCCAAGTACAAAAGACATTTATGTAAGCTACAGGAAAGGTAGTATTAAATATCAGCGAAACTGAAAATAGTTTCTGCCTTCTTTGATTTTTGTGTTCTAAAGAAGACAAAACAAATACAGATATATACAAGGTGCTGTGAATATAACATGGTTTTGTGGATTTCTTCTTAATCACTGCTTTCTGTTTGTTGTACTTTTAGGCTCAGAAAACACCTGAAAATTGTAGTTGCTTATACAATCAGACGCTTGACAACAATTCCAGGAAAATTATCCTTATCTTTCTTTTATAATGAATCCCAGGAACAATCAGGTCAATGGAGAATCTTAGGTGCTGCTGAGAACTACCAATTTTCTGACAATCATTGAAATTGTGCTGCATTAAAGCTTCTTTGAGGACACACAAACAAAGCAGGATGTAAATAACCCTCTTTATTTTTCTCATTTCAGCTTTGGTTTTTTTCCCATGTTAATCAAATCCAGTGTTATTGAAAATATGGCATAGAAAACTATATCTGATTTTTTTCCCAGGTGGTTATTATTTTACAATTATCTGGCAAAATAAGGACCAATATTTAGTCAGTTATCTGTGAGACATTGTCCATCCACGTTATTTACAATACATGAAAACCTACTTAGCAAACATAGAGAAATATAATATATTCAGCAATCAAACACTGGAACATGATTGCCTGGTATTAAATAGATGAGCCAGGGCTGTGAAATGGCTTTTTATGGGAAGACTGTTTCATAATCATGAGTGATGTTAGGTAAACCTCTTCCCAGATGCAAACTGGGGAAAGCTGTGCCCTCAAAAGACTGCTGCCAACTGCCTAGATGCCCTTAGCCGAGTCTGTTTCTGAGTCTCAATTTCCTTATCTGCATGTTGAAGGGCTTCTACCAGATGCTCCGTGAGGTCTTGCTGGGAGCTTAAAGTTGATGTCTGTTTAACCCAGAGTGACCCAAAGCAGAACACAGCTCACCTGTCAGGGGCTGGGTTATGGGGACAAAAGAATACAGTGAAAGCCTCTGAAGAGAATTGCATGGTTACTTCTGTGCATCCTTCCAGGTCAAATTATAACCCCACCTCTTCCAGAAGCTCAGGTTCCAGAGAAGAGGGTAGGAAAGAGGGAGATGCGACATCAGGACATGTGGGCCATCAGCCTGACTGATATTCAGGGCAGGGGTAGGAGCTAGAGTGGAAGCCAGGGATTATGCCTGGAGCCAAAATGAGCAGCAGAGAAAGGAGTGAGGAGCTGTAGTTAATTGACTAACAGGCTCCCAACAAAGGTGCTTCAAAGTAAGATCCACGGATGTTTGTTAGAGAAGTTCTTAGGGCAGCTACCATCATCGCAGCAAGCAGGCCTGAGAGTCCATGTCAACACTGATGGGGGGCCTACCGTGGGCTTGGGAGTTCCTGGAAACCAAAAGTGAATTACACGTGGCCTGGTCTCCTGGGAGTTTAGAATGTGCATGGACAGATACGTGTACCACCAATCAGCAATACTTTAGTTTGCAGGTGGCACTAAAGCAAGCATCTAATCAAGTTCTGTGGGAGCTCAGAGAATTAAATCTGGTTCAACCAAACTGGGAGGGATAGAGGAAGGCTTTGTAATGGATCTGGTATTGAAACTGGCCTTTCCTTGCAGGTGAGTATGATCCTCAGGTGGAAGCTTAGGGAAGAGAAGAAAAATTGGCACGAGAAGAGGGGTGAAGGAACGAGACGATGTGATGTGCCTGGTCCCAGTGAGAGGCCGAGTGTAGCTGGGGAAGGAGGGCTGTGGAGGTGGGAGGGGGTGAAGCTGGAAGAGAGGCTGACCTGAGCTGGGAAGTGCTTTGACTCTCATGCTAAGGGATCTGGGCCACAACCAGCTGCTCCATCAGGCATCTAGGTGGCCAAAGCCAGCTGCTGTAAGTGGCCACAGGAGAGGAGCGAATGAGGGACCCAAGAGAGGAAGGGAAAGAGAAGTTACAGCCACCTTGGCGATCCAAGTGAGACGAAGTGCTTTGGAATGTTAGTGACTGAGACATGGGCTGCAGAAGAAGGTTTGAAGAGAGAGATAATAAGTTCAATTTGGTGAAGTCTGGAACATCCATGAGAAGCTCATGGTCCATTGATAACATGGTTCTGAAATTTGGGAGACAGCCAGGGCTGGATTAACTGCTTAGGAGGAGGCAGTGGGAATAGATGACATTTCAATGTAGATTTCTTATGAATAAGGACATTACTTTCCATTACAATAGTAAAGTGACTAGAATAAGAATTTCATACATTCCATATTCAAATTTCAGGAACTATCTAAGAAGTCCTATTGTAGTTACTTTTTCTTCATTTGGATCCAAGCCGGGATTGTGTATTTCATTGAGTTGTCTTGTCTCTTTGGTTTCCTTGAAATGAAACAGTTCTTAAGCCTTTCCTTATCTTGCATGATATTAACATTTTTTGAAGAGTACAGACTGCTTATTGTATAGAATGTCATTCAGTGTAGATTTGATTATGCTTCCTCAAGACTTGATTAAGCTTTCTAATATTTTTAGGATGGCCCCAGAAGCGATGTGTCTTTCTCACGACATCCTATCAGGAGGTACACGACATTGTCTTATTCCCTTATCAGGGACAGAATCTTTGATCACTTGATAATGCAGTGTCTGCCACGTTTCTCCCCTGTGAAGTAGCTATTTTCCTTTTAAAATCACTAATTTATGAAAAGATACTTTGAGACTATGTAAATATCCTACTCCTCATTAGACAATCACCTACCATTAGGGTTTAGTATTCACTGAAATGGGCTCAATAAAGGACAGAAATGATATGGACCTAACAGAAGCAGAAGATATTAAGAAGAGGTGGCAAGAATACACAGAAGAACTATGCAAAAAAGATCTTCACGACGCAGATAATCACGATGGTGTGATCACTCACCTAGAGCCAGACATCCTGGAATGTGAAGTCAAGTGGGCCTTAGGAAGTATCACTACGAACAAAGCTAATGGAGGTGATGGAATTCCAGTTGAGCTACTTCAAATCCTAAAAGATGATGCTGTGAAAGTGCTGCACTCAATATGTCAGCAAATTTGGAAAACTCAGCAGTGGCCACAGGACTGGAAAAGGTCAGTTTTCATTCCAATCCTAAAGAAAGGCAATGCCAAAGAATGCTCAAACTACCTCACAGTTGCACTCATCTCACACACTAGTAAAGTAATGCTCAAAATTCTCCAAGCCAGGCTTCAGCAATACATGAACTGTGAACTTCCAGATGTTCAAGCTGGTTTTAGAAAAGGCAGAGGAACCAGAGATCAAATTGCCAATATTCGCTGGATCATCGAAAAAGCAAGAGAGTTCCAGAAAAACATTTGCTTTATTGTCTATGCCAAAGCCTTCGACTGGGTGGATCACAATAAACTGTGGAAAATTCTGAAAGAGATGGGAATACCAGACCACCTGACCTGCCTCTTGAGAAATCTGTATGCAGGTCAGGAAGCGACAGTTAGAACAGCAGACTGGTTTCAAATAGGAAAAGGAGTACATCAAGGCTGTATATTGTCACCCTCTTATTTAACTTCTATGCAGAGCACATCATGAGAAACGCTGGGCTAGAAGAAGCACAAGCTGGAATCAAGATTGCCAGGAGAAATATCAATAACCTCAGATATGCAGATGACACCAGCCTTATGGCAGAAAGTGAAGAACTAAAGAGCCTCTTGATGAAAGTGAAAGAAGAGAGTGAAAAGTTGGCTTAAAGCTCAACATCAGAAAATTAGGATCATGGCATCCGGTCCCATCACTTCATGGCAAATAGATGGGGAAACAGTGGAAACAGTGTCTGCCTTTATTTTTTTGAGCTCCAAAATCACTGCAGATGATGACTGCAGTCATGAAATTAAAAGGCGCTTACTCCTTGAAAGGAAAGTTGTGACCAACCTAGACAGCATATTAAAAAGCAGAGACATTACTTTGCCAACAAAGGTCTGTCTGGTCAAGGCTATGGTTTTTCCAGTAGTCATGTATGGATGTGAGAGTTGGACTATAAAGAAAGCTGAGAGCCAAAGAGTTGATGGTTTTGAACTGTGGTGTTGGAGAAGACTGTTGAGAGTCCCTTGGACTGCAAGGAGATTCAACCAGTCCATCCTAAAGGAAATCAGTCCTGGGTGTTCATTGGAAGGACTGATGTTGAAGCTGAAACTCAAATATTTTGGCTACCTGATGCGAAGAGCTGACCCATTTGAAAGGACCCTGATGTTGGGAAAGATTGAAGGCAGGAGGAGAAGGGGACAACAGAGGATGAAATGGTTGGATGGCATCACCGACTCAATGGACATGAGTTTGGGTAAAATCCAGGAGTTGGTGATGGACAGGGAGGCCTGGCGTGCTGTGGTTCTTGGGGTCGCAAAGAGTCGGACATGACTGAGTGACTGAACTGAACAGAGCTGATGATATTTTTAAGAAATATTTATTTATTTATTTTTGGCTGTGCTGGGTCTTCCTTCCTGCGCCGGGGCTTTCTCTAGTTGCAGCGAGCTGGGCTCAATCTTTGTTGCCGCATGTGGGCTGCTTCTTGCTGTTCTCTTGTTGTGAGCACAGGCTCTAGGGCATGGGCTCAGTAGCTGCCCCTCTCCATGTGGAAACATCCTGGACCAAGGATGGAATCCATGTCCCCAGCATTGACAGGGGGATTGTTTGCCACTGGACCACCAGAGAAGCCCCTCATTGATGACATTTGCCTGTATCAGTTATTACTATGATGGTTATAAAATGTGATTTTTTTTTCCTAAAAAACATATTCCTTTTGCATTTATTGGTTGGTTTATTACTATAAAGAAGAGCTCCTATTAATTTATTTATATCAGTGTGGATAAAGAAGGTTTTTAAAAAGAAGGTGGAGAGACATGAATTTTCTTAGAGATGGAATGAAAACACCCAATAGGTAACATAGGGAATAATAGCGGGTAATTTAAGCCATCGAGTCTGAAGGAGGAGTGGGATGAATATGCAGATTGAAGAAGCTGGTCCTAGGCAGGTGTGGGAACTCAGCAGTGTGAAACCAGAAGAGAAGAAAAGGTGGGAGGGTGGGGGTGGTGCTGCGTCAGGAAGTTCAGGGACTCATTCCTGATGCCCCTCACTGGGGACATGAGGGATGTGGTGACGTCAGCCACACATGTCCCTGGTTCTGTTAAGAGGAACCGCAGGTGGCTGGTAGGATGAGTGGTAACAACTACCGTTAATCCCAAACACTGTGGTGAGCATTAGGTACAGGTCCGCAATCCATCATCTGAAATCACTGAGGCCAGAGGTGCTATGGAGTTCAGAACGCAGGGCAGCATGGTGCATACACTATGTGTCATGGAACTCTCCCAGCAGAATCTGGGGCAGCACGTGGTAATCACCCCCGTTTCTATTCCTAAAGCGAAGCCAACATTTCTAAAGAAAAAGGTAACATTTCACACTGACTATAAATGACAGTCTTATGTCCGCTCAGATTAGGTGAGGCCACCAAGAAAAGTCTGCATGGAAGTTATCAGAAGAAGTTTAGGGTTTTCAAAGTATATTACATTTCTGAACTGTGAATAAAGGAATGGTAGGGGGCACTTATGTAAACAGTTCTGTGAGAGCAAATCCTCCCAACTCAAGGAGTCAAGGCTGGCTCTGCACCTGAGCGGGGCCTTGAGGAAGGTATAGGCTTTGATTAGCAGAAACTGGGGGTTAGAGGTAGGAGAGACGAAAAGGACATTCCAAACAGAGGCACGGATTTAAGCAAAAGCATGGAGTCAGGGAGGTCCCTGGCCCATCTGGGTGATTGTTGGTAATTTCGGGTCACTAGACCTGAGGATGGCAGGAGGAGTGGCGGAAAATCCAACAGGAAAGGTGGGTTGGAACCTGAACACACAGCTCTGAAGGGCATCCTCAGGGTCTGAAACCTGATTCTGTCGTCAGTGGGGAGTGACACGTCACATCTCTGCCTTTGTTAAGCAGAACTTGGGCTGCCTGCATCCTTGCTTTGTGCCCATGCAGAGGATTAACTCAAGTCAGGGGACACTGAGACAGGAGGCAGCAGCAGCCGTGCAAGAGATTTGTTGAGAGCTAGGGTGAGTCCAGCAAGGGGAGGATGATTTGAGAGCCAGGTTAGACTCCATTGGCCTTGAGTAATTGAGGAGAGGGGGCAGAGGAAAGGGAGATTCAAAGCTTGGCTGCTGGCTGAAACTCAAGGACAGAGAGCTGGCCAGTGTATGTGTGATGAAGACTGAGGACTCAGGTATTCACCCACCTGGACCTATGTCCCACCTCCAGCTTCCTACCTGCCAGAAATGCAGCCAAGAGCTCAACCTTTCTCCCATCTGCAAAATGGAAATAATAATAGCATCTTCCTGAAAGGATAATAGTGTGGCTTAAATGAGCTAATCCATATAAATACTAACCATAGGGCCTGGCACATAGAAAACATATCACAGATGTCTGTGAGTCTTGTTGATGGTTTTGATGATGATGACATTGAGTGAGAAAGAGATCTCAAAAGATGTTTTCATTCTGGAATTGTATATAGATTGACTTGTAGTTATAAGGTCATTTGAGGAAATGACTATTGACTATTTAATAGTCCCAGCTTCTTCAAAAACATTTATGTAGAATAAAACAAAAACCTGTTAATATTCT